GCCTTGTTGACCATTGAGTCTGATCTAACAAGAAATATTGATTTTCAGAATATAATTGATGATTTTGCCAATATGAAATCCAGAAAAAAGTTTATTTAAGAAGTGCCTGTGAATATAAACCATTCTTTACTTTCTTGAGTTTATATGATTTGATAGTCTTATGCATGATGCAATGATAACAATAATGGTCAGTGATTTATAAAGGGAATAATAGTGCTGTAGTGGTTATGCTGAATATAATAGGTACATGATGTCACTAATAGCCTAATCTAGTAATACTATGCTGTCTTGAGTTTATTCTCTTTAAAATGCATGATTTAACAAGATAGTTATAACGGCTGTTGGTAAATGGTTTTGGTTGTCTTGATGTACTTTCCCTATTAAATTTAATCGAAATAGCCAGAATGTATTTAATTAGACCTTAAACAGGCTCACACCGACCCCCCCCACCCCCACCCCCAAGCTGCAAGGGGTCGCTTCGCTTACCCGTAACTCAAAGGGGCCCCACCAATCTGAATAGCCTAGGGCCCGGAGACTTCTTAATCTGGCCCTGTATATGTGAACAGTATTTAGATAAAGGTAGGGAAGTTTTTATTGCATTTATGGATTTAGAAAAGGCATATGATAGTGGATAGAGGAGCAATGTGGCAGATGTTGCAAGTATATGGAAGAGGTGGTAAGTTACTAAATGCTGTTAAGAGTTTTTATGAGGTGAGGCTCAGGTTAGGGTGTGTAGAAGAGAAGGAGACTACTTCCCGGTAAAAGTAGGTCTTAGACAGGGATGTGTAATGTCACCATGGTTGTTTAATATATTTATAGATGGGGCTGTAAAAGAAGTAAATGCTAGGGTGTTCGGGAGAGGGGTGGTATTAAATTATGGGGAATCAAATTCAAAATGGGAATTGACACAGTTAGTTTTTGCTGATGATACTGTGCTTATGGGAGATTCTAAAGAAAAATTGCAAAGGTTAGTGGATGAGTTTGGGAATGTGTGTAAAGGTAGAAAGTTGAAAGTGAACATAGAAAAGAGTATGGTGATGAGGGTATCAAATGATTTAGATAAAGAAAAATTGGATATCAAACTGGGGAGGAGGAGTATGGAAGAAGTGAATGTTTTCAGATACTTAAGAGTTGACGTGTCGGCGGATGGATTTATGAAGGATGAGGTTAATCATAGAATTGATGAGGGAAAAAAGGTGAGTGGTGCATTGAGGTATATGTGGAGTCAAAAAAATGTTATCTATGGAGGCAAAGAAGAGAATGTATGAGAGTATAGTAGTACCAACACTCTTATATGGATGTGAAGCTTGGGTGGTAAATGTAGCAGCGAGGAGACGGTTGGAGGCAGTGGAGATGTCCTGTCTAAGGGCAATGTGTGGTGTAAATATTATGCAGAAAATTTGGAGTTTGGAAATTAGGAAAAGGTGTGGAGTTAATAAAAGCATTAGTCAGAGGGCAGAAGAGGGGTTGTTGAGGTGGTTTGGTCATTTAGAGAGAATGGATCAAAGTAGAATGACATGGAAAGCATATAAATCTATAGGGGAAGGAAGGCGGGGTAGGGGTCGTCCTCGAAAGGGTTGGAGAGAGGGGGTAAAGAAGGTTTTGTGGGCGAGGGGCTTGAACTTCCAGCAAGCGTGCGTGAGCGTGTTAGATAAGAGTGAATGGAGATGAATGGTACTTGGGACCTGACGATCTGTTGGAGTGTGAGCAGGGTAATATTTAGTGAAGGGATTCAGGGAAACCGGTTATTTTCACATAGTCGGACTTGAGTCCTGGAAATGGGAAGTACAATGCCTGCACTTTAAAGGAGGGGTTTGGGATATTGGCAGTTTAGAGGGATATGTTGTGTATCTTTATACGTATATGCTTCTAAACTGTTGTATTCTGAGCACCTCTGCAAAAACAGTGATAATGTGTGTGTGGTGAAAGTGTTGAATGATGATGAAAGTATTTTCTTTTTGGGGATTTTCTTTCTTTTTTTGGGTCACCCTGCCTCGGTGGGAGACGGCCGACTTGTTGAAAAAAAAATTATATATGGAAGTTGCAGGAAGGCTGGAAGAAATGGGACAAAATTGAATAAAAACAGGTTTTGTTTGACAGCTATTTCTGTCAAGATTACATTAGTAGAGCATTGTATGACCCTTGTGAGTTTAGCACTTAGTTATGATTATAATAATATATTAAGGAAAGTGCTTTTTAATGATCGATTTGAAGTGATTGGCAGATAATGCCTTCTTCCTGTGTGAGGTCTCCTCTAGGTATACTCCAGGTATACATCATATAAACAAAGAGTTAGAAAAAATGAGTTATTTAGGTTTATTACAAGTTTAGATTTTTACAGTTGTCTTGTATGGTGCATCCTGTGGGTCGGTTGGCAGCGCACTCAGCTCAATACTGAGCGTCCAAGATCAATTCCCGGCACGGGTGGATACACTGGATATGTTTCCTTACACCCACTGTCTTTGGTCACCTAGCAGTAATTAGGTACCTGGGCGTTAGTCGCATCCTGGGGATAAGATTGACGGTCCACAATGGAAATAAGAGTCCATGAAGACGCACTGATTTTCTTGGGTTATCCTGGGTGATTAACCCAATGGAAATAAGTCACTTTGTCTGACTTTGGGTTATCCTAGGTAATCTACACATGCTGCTATGTATGATAATTTATGCAGCTGTATTTGTGTACCTGTACCTGAATAAACTTACTTATTCCTACCCCGGGTGAAAAATCCAAACAAAATCTTAACTTGTGATGTTTGTCCCATGGGCCTCCAGATTATTTTGTTTTGTGTAAGCAGTAATTTAAAATAAAGAATTGTATGGCTCTTGATCTAAGTAAGTGGATCAGTGCTTCTCTTACTGGGTCAAACTTGAATGCCTGACATATCTCCAGATGTTATGAACCCTAATGCTGCTCCCCATCAATGCACCTTTGACAAAGACTCCCTCTTCGACTTTCTTGACACCAACAGATTTATTACACAACCTTTACCTGGAGGGGATTTAAGATAAGATAAGATTTCGTTCAGATTTTTAACCCCGGAGGGTTAGCCACCCAGGATAACCCAAGAAAGTCAGTGCGTCATCGAGGACTGTCTAACTTATTTCCATTCTGCCCGAAATGCCTAGCCATGCTAAGCGTTGTAGTGGTACACTCTGTAATCACTATTTTACAACATGTAAACCACACAATAACCAAATTTCTGTAAAATCAACATTGTAATCCTTATAGAGAATAAACTTTGAATTTGAATTGAATTTGAATTGGGGTCCTTAATCTTGTCCCCCAGGATGCGACCCACACCAGTCGACTAACACCCAGGTACCTATTTGCTGCTAGGTGAACAGGACAACAGGTGTAAGGAAACGTGTCGAATGTTTCCACCCGCCGGGAATCGAACCCGGGCCCTCCGTGTGTGAAGCGGGAGCTTTAGCCACCAGGCCACGGGGGCCAACGCCCCCGCTGCCCGGTCTGTGACCACCACTGCTCTTACATTATTATTATAATCAAAACTTAGCGCTTCTTTTTGATTATAATAATAATTATAATAAAAAATTATTAAAATAAAAAAAACGCCCTTACAACCTCTGCCGCTATACTCTCCACCCTCCCTAGCTTCAGATCAAGCATATTAAGCTGTTAGCACACCCTACCTAGCAGCGTTGTATGACCCTTGTGGGTTTAGAGCTTAGTTTTGATTATAACAATCATGACAATATCAGGGACTACATCGTCGCTGAATGTAACTTGAATAATAATTTGTATGGTATTGTATGTGTTATCTAACGTTGAATAACGCACTGAAGTCAAATACTGGCTTATTTCCTCTGTGATTCTGGGTTAAATCTAAATAATGTACATTTTATGGGTAATTATTATACAAGTTCGGCCACAATTTATTCATTTAAAAGATTAGTATGTTATATTTCGTCATGGACATTGTTTTGTTCTGAAAATTCAAGAAAAGCAACCTAACCGAACGAAACCCAATCTAAAATAACCAAACATAACGTAAACTTCATCCGCCAGTGGTAGATGTAGGATTAGCGCGCCAGGAGTGTCAGTGATAACCCTTGATTAGTCCTGATGTGCTGCAAGTTTCAAAATAAATGTATTATTTCTGCTAGTAAATAACTAAGTTTATTCAGGTATATACAAATACAGTTACATATTATCATACATAGCAGCATATGTGTAGAGAACCTAGGATAACTATTGCTAATGTCTCCCAAAATAAACTTTGTGGGTTTAGCTCTTAGTTTTGGTTGTAATAATAATTCGCACAAGAAATAAAAATTTACGCTCGCGTATATATAACATTTTTGTATTAAAAAAATAAAATGATTGATTTAAAAAAAAAAAAAAGGATCGCTGTATAATCCTTGTGGCTTAGCGCTTCTTTTTGATTATAATAATAATTAAAAAAGGATCTTGATTTTAGCCCATTTGGTGTACTTATAATATGTTTGCCCTTAACACCAACGCAAGAGTTTATTTATTAATGTACACGAAACCTAAATAAAAACTTATTAATGAATTTCGGAAGCGTGCAAAGCTGTTTCTGGAGGTCAGAACTAGCATTGATCGTGCTTTAAGGTTATTAACTTTTATAACATACCTGTTTTGAGTATAATTTTACGTCCTTAATAAATTCTGCTGTAGTATGAATAAAAATATATCTATGATATACGCTTATTGAATGTAAAAAGAAGAAATAAAAAAATACTTAAATATATTATAAGAAAAACATGAAATGTGGATAGTATATTTTTACCTCAAGAACGCTTGGAATGTATGTACTCTCGAACAAAACAACAGTATTACACGTGAAAGATATATGTATTTCAACGAGACGATGCATATTTTAAATCTGATATATAAAATATAAACTGTGTACATACTGTATAAACATTTTATTTAAAATTAATTAAATGAAAATGTGTTAAAGGTAATAAGAGCTAGTATAGGTTTTGTTTAGATTCTTGGTAACTGTGACGTGTACTTGTTGTTCTCGACCAGTGGACACTCAACAAGTAGCAGACATGGACCTGTGGTGGAGCCTCACCTTACTTTTACCTCTCTTATATCTCACCACTGCCCAGAATCCTCACAGGAGGTTCGAATACAAGTACAGCTTCAAGGGCCCGTACCTGGCACAGAAGGACAACCAGGTTCCCTTCTGGCAGTATAGTGGCAGTGAGTATGGCTCAGCTGCTGCTGGCCGGGTCGTCTGCTAACATATGTTATCTTCCACCACAGGCTACTCTTCTTGTATACCAGGCACAGGGAAGTGCCCCACACCTACCTTGCCCACTCTTCTGTGGCTCGGGCATCTAAACTAATCCAAGTAGGAAAAGTAACAAGGTAGCCAGGATGAACAGAAAGCCTACCATAGTGACCTGTGGTACCGGTGTAATTATTCTAGGTTTATTATTTGTAACTTTTAGCCAGGTAAATGTACGCATATGCAACTTAATTAGACAATAAGACGACGTTTTGCTTATCGGGGAGGACATTGTCAGGCCAGTTAAGGGGATCAAGAACCTCGCGAATCTTGAAAATTTGTGAACGTTTGGTGCACAGATATATTGTAGGGAAATATAATAGCATTTGCTTAGCCTAACAATACTGTTTCCTTAACCTATTGAACCACGAACAATCATAAAACACGTGAAAACTTCGTAAACATTGTATATATATGTTGGCTGGGCATTTATGAATGCTCGCTCACGAAAGTGGAAGACTTGCTGTATAGAGAAAGATTTTATTAAGTAAGGGTATATATACAAGTTTTAGCTGGTCTTGAAGGGGAGCACACAAATTAAGGGCACAGAGAAAGTACTCAGTGGATTTAACCAAGAATTACTAAAGTTCGTGTGATTTATTTCCATTAGTAGCAATAGTAGTGGTTGTGCAATAGTAGGATGGAAGGTGTCTCAGGTAAGTAAGCTTATTTAGGTACAGGTATATATAAGCACAATTATCATACATAGTTTTACATGTGTAAATTACCTAAGGATAATCCAAAAAAAAGTCAGACAAGGTCAGTGTTGTGTATTTGAAGTAGGATTCTTGTTAGAATCTGAGGCTCAGTCATGATGATCAGCTCCTGATCCAAGGAGTTTGACCTGTCATCCTCCTCCTTCAGTTGAACTTGTTTTCCATTGCCCAGGTACTGTAGGACACCCTTCTGCTATGCATATAATATTGTACATAACTTTTGTGATGAATGTGTGCATGTAATTTGTACTGGTTTTATAAAATACAGCAGTTTGTAATTATTATTAAATAAAATTTACTTAAGTACTCTAATAACCTGTGTATTGGCTAACCTAAATAAGAACTTGCACTACACAGAAACTTATGTCAGTGTTGCCAACAGACTCCCTGAAAACACCAAATTGAAAAAATGTATACAACTTTTTATTATAATAGAGGATTGTATAAGAAGAGTAAGGGCATTAGATATGAAACTCATAAAGGACTTACAGAAGATGTAATAAATAATGCTCTTTTGTTTCAGTTTCTGTGAAATAAATATACCATAACCCTGCTACTGTTTCACCTATATGTGCCAATTAATTTAACCTTAAAAAAAAAAATATTGGACAGTGCTGAAAAGGGAGGCTACATTTTATACATGTTAGTAATTTCCTGTTTTTAACTAGAGGAGCAGTGCTATGCTTATCTTATGTTAAATAAATTTTATCAAAAGTGTATGACTAATTTTAGAATAAAAATAGTCAGGTTTCTGAAATTTACATTTCTAAATCCTGGTTGAATATGATTTAACTGATGAAGCCGGAAGTAAATTAGAGTATATCATTGTTTTGACAAATGAAGGGGAAAGTGTGTGTGTTTATATATGAAACAGATTTTGCTAATAAATATCCAACTTGCATGAAATGGACAATTTGTAGTTTAATATTAAAATTAAATCTATTTTAGTTGAAACTCTTTGCCATTCACCTATGGATAAATCTTGGAAAACTTTGCTAAGGTATTATAAAAAAAAAGTTGGGCCCAGCTGTGGATATTTACAATGCTTTATTTACTTGAAGTGCTAAATATTTGTGGGCCATTGAGTGCAAGGAATGGTACAGGCTTGATCCTCAGTCTACTAATTGCATCCTGATTTCTGATCATATATTCACTTTGAGAAAATGAGTGCTTGTTCAGTGACCTATGCCAGAGGCTAATCACAGTTTACTGGCAGATCAATGGGAGCAAACTTTGAACAGGAGTACGTGAATCCAAAGACATTCGTGATAGATTTTTTTTTTTTTTTTTTTTTTTTTTTTTTTTTAGCTTCAATAAAATAAAATCATTTAGATTAATGGTTAGGGATCTGCAACTTGCTCACTTGATGTCTACAGGTAAGTGTTCTTTTCTCAACACTGTTGTAATCCTTTTATTAGAATTCTCAGCGTATTTTTTAAATTTCTGAAAGATTTGCTGCATAATTTGAAAAACTTAATAATAACACACTTATGTTCATGTGTATGTAATTCAAAATTGTTTACTAAATTTGTTGCTGTATTATTACGGTGGAACCTAGGTTCTCGTATGCCTAGTTTGTATGTAAAATTATAGTTATTCTTTATAAAATGTATTTTTTTGTTAATATTTTTGGGTGTCTGGAACAAATTAATTGGATTTACATTTTCTCATGGGAAATATTAACAAAAAAAAATATATTTTTTAGTGAATAACTAGTTTTATATACAAACTAGAGCATACAAAAACCGAGGTTCCACTGTATTAAGTATTTGGAGGACTAGTTTTTATTAGTATTATAGTTTGATAACTTGCAACATTATTCTTCTCCATTCTCACTCTCTACCCTTTATTACTTTAATCATAATGTAGGAATTTCTTCATTCTTCAGATGCCATTGCCAGTGAAGAGAGTGTGCGCATCACCCCATCACTACGCAGTCAAAAGGGTCAGATTTGGACTAAGAACCCTACAAACTTTGAGTGGTGGGAAGTGGACTTCGTTTTTCGCGTAACTGGCCGAGGGAGAATAGGTGCTGATGGCTTGGTTAGTTGACATTATTGGATTGATATAAGAGTGCAATGCAGCCTCTACTTGATTTTGTATATACAGTGGAAATTCAAATATCGAACTTTCTTCGGTCCAGAAGGTTGTTCCAGTGCCTTTACCGAATGAATTTATTCCCATCAGGAATAATGTAAATTAGATTAGTCCATTTCAGACCCTCAAAAATACACTTATAAAAGCACTTGCAAAAATACACTTACATAATTGGTTGTGTTGGGAACAGTTCGATTTTTGAGGTTCCACTGTACAGTATTTGTAGGATTGCAACAATTGTCACCAGTATTTTTGACATTAGTCTTGCGTGTATAACAGTAATCATTGTATGCCAATACCATACTTTATATCGCTGTACAGTACAATATAAACAACCTAGAAAGTTTTTAATAATTTGTTAATTATAATGCATACTTCACAAGAGCCTTGTTGGTGACCTGTGTAATTTATTTCTAAATATTCCACACCTTTGCCTCATCTAAAATTACATTGTGATGAAGATATGACTAGGAGAATTTTCTTCCCGAAATTACTTTGTTCACCATACATTTTTTCCATTATATTTTGACTAGGTATTGAGACATATTGGACATGCTCCTAAGATTTAGGTGAATACTAATACTTTGGTTGACATTTTTGGTCCCCCTACTACATTGATTTATCACCTTACCCTGTTTATTAGTGTATAAAATTCTCATTGTATCAAACTTCAAATTTTAAAGATTTTTGATATTTTTAATTTAATTAAGTTAGCTTAATTTTTTATTAGTTTGTAATTTTCATCATACTCTTTTCAGTAGCTTTTAAAAAATGTGTACCTCATAGCTATCTTTGATCTTTTCCTTAGACCACAGCATTAGCCTTTGATTAGATTACTTAGGGATTTTTTATTTGCAGGCTCTGTGGTTTGCTGACAAACCTGGTGTTGAAGGTCCTGTATTTGGCAGCTCAGACAAATGGAATGGTCTTGGAGTATTCTTTGATTCTTTTGACAATGACAATAAAAGAAACAACCCATATGTCATGGCCATGGTTAATGATGGCACCAAGGTTTATGATCATGAACAGTAGGTGTTAAATTCAGCTAAAAGTTCTGTGTGAAGAATTTGCTAAAATGTAAGCCATTGGAATGATGATATACATACTTATTATGTTTACTTCTGAATACTAGAGGTCAGCAACTGTAGTAATTTCATGTACTGTACTATAACAATTAATAATTTTTCAGTGATGGATTGAGTCAACAGCTTGGTGGCTGCCTTCGAGATTTTCGAAACAAACCTTTCCCAGTGAGAGCAAAAGTTGAATATTACAAAAATATTCTAACAGTAAGTGCACTTTTTGTATTTATTAAAATTAAAAAAAATTTTTAATTAAGTAATTTTGAAAGATTCTCAGCACATTGGGAAATAAACACAATCTGAATGCTCTTTAAAATACTTTTTTTTGTTTATAACATCATAACAGTAAAACCCTCTTCTTATCAAAGCTAAAAGATTTTTATATTGTATGCTAGGCATAGTATGTATTCTCAAAAGAAAAGCTTAATTTGATTGCTTAAGTAGCTGGATGTGCAGTGCTGTTAGGAAGTTCACTGTTGAGCCAGTCAGTAACTACAAAGCTCGTGTGAATTTTGCTGACTGATATACAGGTTTTATAAACAATTGCAGAACAGGTGGGGCTTGAACCCATGGCAAGCAAGTCCTAAAACTCACAGGCCAGTGTGTTAACCACTTGACCAGCTAGCCTGTGAGTTTTAGAACTTGCTTACTATGGGTTCAATCCCCACCCATTCCGTCACTAGTTATTGGCCTAGGTTGATGAATATCCTTTTTCATGTTATTTTGCTGGTATTAAATTTGATTTTCAGCTTTCGGTAGCCTTTTTTTCATCACTTTACTGTTTATTGTGCTATTCGTGTAGCTCCGTTTTGTCGCGTATCTTGGGCAGCTTCTAAATGATTGTGTGTAATGTATAATTGTTACTATTGTAGACTTGGAAGTTACTGTATGGCTGTTTCTGAATGCACTTCGTATAGTTTTTTTTATGCTTTCTGTGCACACAGAATTTTACATTTGAGCCTGTATCTTTTCTTATGGATTCTTCTCTTAAGTCTAGGATTTAATAGTACTTCATCAATTATCTGGCCCCTTCCTTGTGGGGGGGAGGGGATGGGGGCACTGTAGTCCCAACATTAAATGCTTGTATCTGTTTTTCACGATTCATTTGTTTTGCATGTTTCTCTATTGGTGGTGTATTGAACAAAACTGCCAGTTAATGGTAATAAAGCTATGACACTGACAAGTACTGTAGTTGGGAAAATGATATAAAATGCAAACATTAGAGCATTTTATTGGAAAGGCTTCAGTCCTGGGATTTTGTCACTCCAAATGTGGAATGTCCAAGGTCTCAGGATTGAAACGTTTGCAGTAAGATGACCTAGCATTTGCGTTTTTGCCTTTTCTCAATTTTACACCACCAGGTAATGTTAAAAGCCAAATTGATTGCCAGATAATTAATAATCTGCTGTATTTAGGTTTAGCAATAGTATAAGTTTTCCTGTTTACATGTGTGTTTGCAGTAGGCACAGTAAAATAAAAAAAAAATTAAAATGACTAAATATAGTGGAGAAGAGTTCTTTGAAAACTGGCTTATACCGTATTTCGCGGCTTATAAGGCTTGTTTTAGTTTCAATGGCTCGGCATTGGATGCAACTGGGAGAGCTACAGCCCACCTCCACACCCCAAATGTATAGCTTCCATCACTGACCTTCAGTTTATAGGACACAGGGTGGTTTTTGAAGACATTTTATGGAAAAAAAATGCATCTAATAACCTGCGAAATACAGTAATTTATTGGGTTTCTGAGAAGTGGATGTCAAAATAATTTGGAGGATTAGTAAGTAAAAAAAGAAAGAAAAGGTTGGTAATTATAGTGAGATGCACTAATTTTCTTAGAGGCATAGATAATAGATTGAAATGAATAATAAATTCTGTAATTCGGATGATTAATGAAAAGTATGTTTGGAGATAAACAGGAAACTAAATTAGGGGAAAGTGAACAGTATTATATTGGTAAGCATTCCTTTCAATTGAATAATGTGTAGTAGTGTGCCTGAAACATTTTTTGCAAATGTACTTTTTAGCATGAGTAATTGGCTGCATAGTGGATGCAAAAAATTAAACACACGGCTAACAAAATACGTATATAATTTTGCTATTGATGGACACATGCAGGTAAAGACACAGCTGCTTGAGTTTGATTATATCAAACTTGAGGAGGAAGACCCAGATATAAAAACTGTTACATCTACACTGGGAGATACTGACCCTCTTGCTAAGACAGAAGACTACTCCTTCCATGAGCCATTTTCAACTGCATATCCTTCTGCTGCTGAGACAACTTTGCCTCCTGTATATAATGAACAACCAGCCACAACTAAACAGCCTTCCCTTGATTATTCGACAACCGTGTCATTTTTTGGTTATGGAAGTGAAACTACTACGCCACCATCTGAGAGTGAAACTGCCACAACTGTTTCTACAGTATTAAGTGATGAGGACTTTACTAGAGATACTGCAGATTCCAGTCCTCTCTTTGTGGAAACAGTGCATAAGGCTGCTGAAGAGGAACTGTCAGCAGGATGGGGATGGTATGGAAGTAGTGAACCTCTAACTACAACTCCCAAACCTGAGAAAAAGAGACGAAGTAAAAAGCAGAGGAAGAGGAGAGGGGGAAGGAGGAGGAGGAAGAGGGTGCATATTGGAAGTCCGGTAGGAGGGCATTTAAAAGTGCAACCATGAGTGAGAGTGTGACCTTAATTTAGAATGATGGAATGCTTTTCTTCAGTTGAGAAAAAAAAGTGATGTTTTCTATTATTAATTTCATTTAAATAATTTTGCTTTGTATTTTGATCCATTTACCCTTGTGACTAATGAATATATAATTTAGGTACGTTGCTGAATATTGACACTTGTTGAGCAATACATTGCTTGCTGTCATCTGGTTTATCCTTGCATAAAGTTGGCAGGTAGAGCATGGCTGTAGATATCCACAAGTCCTCTGTAATATTCCTTGCTCAGAAAAACCTCGTCTTATAATTCTTTTTAGCAGCAATGAAAGCCTCTCATAATTATTCAACTTAATACTATACATATGGAAAAATTTGCAAGAGCAAGAGCATTAGAGAAAGGTGGGTACTTAATGTATGATAGGAATAAATGAGGTACAAGGGGATATCAAAGCTGATGTAATGTGTATACAGTACTGACTTGAGAATGAAGCACATGAATGTTATAATACTGTGGCTGGAACAATTCCTTGCTAACCTACAAATTGGAAATGGAAAAAATTTCCATTACTGCAGTCTCTGCTTACCAATAATATAACTTGCACTGTTGCCACATAAGTGGCATATTTATTTGAGAATGTAGATTTGAACATCAGTTAAGTGGGTGTAAGCTGATGACTTGTCTTACAAAGTTGGCCATTGAGTAGGGTAAATTATGAGTTTGCAGTATTGTTTTTTGTTAAAACAGTATATATACAGCATTTTTAATTCTCTAAAACAATGGTCTGGCATGGCAGGGCTAAAGTAAATCTTATCAGAGATAATCATATTCTTGCTAAAATACCCTTTTAATTGCCACATATCATTGTCAGAGGTAATAAAAAAAACAATTTTAATCTTTGCTAGCTCATTACTTTATCAAAACTTTTCTGTCTGATCAACATAAAGGCTCAGTAATAACTCATTTATACCTTCATGCTCCAAGTGGCTTTCCTACAATTTTAGCAACTTTGCCAAATTTTGATCTGGACAGGGTGCTTCCCTACAGTTGTCAACCATGACTGACATCTTCCATGTTGGAAAGTGAGTACAGTAGAAGGAAAATTGGATGTGGATATGGCCCCAGGTGGCAGCCAGATTGGTTGATTAGAGTCTTGCCTGAAAATATAGTTTGTGCTATTGCACTGCTAAATAGCCAGGAAAACTAATAGCACTGCTAAGCAAGCAAAAATCCCACTGGGACATTGCTGTACCTAGATGAGACATTTGTAGGAGCATTGTTTACCTTGAGATGTACTGCACCAGTTATGAATTTTATCACATTTTTCCTCCCTATCACTTGTCACTTCGTAGCTGTGGGATACAGCATACAGAAATGTTAAGAGTATCTTCACTCATTTAACTTAATATTAGCTAATACAGGAAAATTTTAGGCATCCTCTCCTATGCTATGGGCAGACCAGTGGGTGCAACATTTTTTATGTGCTGCCATCATTGCCAACAAATATTGTTTATTTCCATTTCATTTATTCAGATAAAATATTGTTGAATTAAATTGTTAGATAAGACTAATGACAACAGGGTAACTTGCTGCTCTGCCCATGCCTCCCATATATCACTGCATTTTGGGGTTCATTATTCTCAGTTTATAAGATATTTTTGTAGCGTGCATAAAAAATAAATTGCTGTACCATATCCATGACTAGCTCAAACTATTAAAGAATGTAAAATTGCCCTAATATCACATTGTGTTCTGTGTAATTTGCTCGAAGATATATACTGTGCAGTTTTACTCTCATAAAATTTTAGCATTTATAGTTTTTGATTTTTGTGTGATGTATGTTTGTGTATGATGTGTGTGCAAACCCTTGAGCCACTGCTGGATCACAAATTTGGTGTGCATCATCTGTATTTACTTCTGTTACCTTGAGTGATTTTGTACATATTTTGTGTTTCAAGCAAGATGTCACAAGTTGGAACACAGTGAGGCAAGTGTGTGTTGATATGTATGTATTTTAACTTGTTTGTGGAACACTTAGATGAGTTCACTAATTTTTTCTAGAGTATTTTTTCAATGTATTACTTTATCTTTTTAAAGATATTTCATTAATGTTTAATTTGGCGTTTGTCATGGCATTTGCAAATAATATCTTAATGTGTTTTTCCTGCCTCTTGAATTACTTTACTAAAATACTTTAATTTATTTAATACATGTATACTGTATAGAGATTTTTCGTTTTTTTTATTTACAATATCAACATGATTTGTAATACATTTCCAAAATGGAAAATGGGGGTAACAAATGATGCCTATTTTTCATACAGCAACAGTAATGTTTATTCTGGTATCTTGGATATTTACTTCATATGGCTTTGAATATACATATACTTCACATGTGCAAGCCCTGACAAATTATAAATTGACTGGACTACACTACTTTTGTTACTTATTTAATGTAGAGCCTATTACTACAAAAAGTATTTTCCCCCTTTCTAATAAAATATTCAGTGACATTTTTTACAGAATGATGTGGTTATGAAATGATCTTAGAATTTTCCAACTGTTTCGCTCACAGCTGCTGATCCACAGTGGAATGACGAACAATGACAAGGATTACGAAATTTGTATGCGTGCAGAAAATGTCTTTCTGCCAGCAACTGGCTATTTTGGTGTATCTGCTGCAACAGGCGGGTTAGCTGATGACCATGATGTAAGTCATATTGCACAATTATTTTTCCTCTTATTCTAAATTTACTTAGGCTTCTTTATACGGTTTTGTACATCGTATTGTGCTTCACCTATTTATTTTATTTGTTGTCCTTCCTTCTAATTAAGGGCCTCTTTCCTGTAGCTTTTCTAAAGTGCAAGATTTAAAAAAAATATGGAGCTCTGTTTTAAATGTTTTAAATTTGGACTCCAATTTTGTTAAACTACAGTACTACCTACCTGTCAAGATAGGGGGGGTGTACGGTTGCTCCCCCCCCCGATGCTAGTGAAGGTCTTTTGATTCAGGGAATTGGAGCCACTTCTCTTCCCCTTTAGTTTTCTAACCCGCTAAAGTTCCTTCCTTAATTACCAAAGTGCTGTACAATTGTAAAGGTGGTAGTTGATGATAGTTCAGTGCCTACACTAAATTTAGGGTGTACGAGCAGGATTTTGCAGTTTGGAGTGTTGTCTGAACTTATAATGTCAGTTGCACTTCTAGGAAGACTCAGACCCCAATGAGTGAATGTGTTTCCTTCTTTTTGGGGTTACACTACCTCAGTGGGGAAATGGGTCGTGTTCAAGAGAGTTAACAATAACCCGCACATAGGTTTTTTGAAATCGTGATACTGTATTATCAAACCAGAAGTCGAACATATTGGTATGTTGAGTTGTTTCTGAGTAGCAAACACCTTTCATGGGGTTTGTTGGATCAGTAATTATTTGTCTTATTACTTCTGTGCAGCTAAAGAAGCAGAGTTATGGTTTCATGGGTCGTCCCAGCCTTCTTTAGCATATTAATTATTTTTTATTTTTTTTTTATAATTTCATTTGCTGTAGCACTTGCTACCTATTTCAGTTTTTTCAGTCTTCTACCAATATCAGTAAAGGAAAATTTCCTAGTATCCCTCCAACTCTGTGTTTCAAATTATATATATAATATATAATATATATATATATATATATAATATTTATATATATATATATATATCTATATATATATATTATTATATATATATATATTATATAAGATTATATATATATTTTTTTTTTTTTTTTTTCAACAAGTCGGGCCGTCTCCCACCGAGGAGGGTGGACCCAAAAAAAAGAAGAAATCCCCAAAAAGAAATACTTTCATTCATCATTCAACACTCTTCACCACACTCGCACCATTATCCTTTTTTTGCAGAGGTGCTTAGAATCAAACAGGGTCTAGAAAGCATACACATATAAAGATACACACATTATCCCTCATAAATGAAGGAGTAGCAATAATGTTGGAAGGATAAGTATTGGCAAGGAAAAGAGGGACTTAATAAATGTATTAATTCAGGATTATGTGGAGTAAAATAAAGATTGGATGTGAAAAGTGGGTTATAATAAGCGTTGTATGCACTGGCGAAGAGAGAAGTGTAGAGGACGAGAGAGAGATTTTGGAAATTGTTGAGTGACAAGCGTGGGGGAGTTTTGAATCAAGTGTGAGAGTAAATGGTGGTTGGGGATTTCAATGCTAAAGTGGGTAAAAATGTTTATGGGAAGGAAGTAAGTAGGTAAATTTGGGGTGCCAGGGGTAATGGTAAATGGGGAGCTTTAATTGAGCTATGTGTAGAAAGCAAAGTTGGTAATAAGTAATACATATTTTATGAAAAAAGAGGATAAATAAAAATACATGGTATGATGTAGGCACGTAAATGAAAGTAGTTTATTAGATTATGTTTGGGTGGATAAAAGGTGATGGGGTAGGCTCCAGGATGTACATGTTTATAAGGTGGCAACTGATATATCGGATCATTATTTAGTGTAGCTACAGTTAGAGTAAGAGGTTAGATGGGAAAGAGGAAGGTGGGCAACAAACAAATAAGGAGGAGGTGAAAGTGGTAATAAACTAAGGGAGGAGGAAGTTCGGGTGAGGATATAAGCGTCATGGCAGAAAGGTGGTGCTAGTGCAAAGATGAGTAGTGGGGGGGGTTGAAGGAGGGTTTGGAATAGTTTTTAAAAATGCAGTATTAGAAGTGGGGAGAAGTTGTGGTTATAGGAGGGGTGGGAAGGAGGAAGAGGAGGTGATTGGTGGATGATGACGTATAGGGTGTGATAAGGAGGGGAAGGGAAAAAGGTAGTTTATGAGAGGTTTTTACAAAGCAGAAGTGTTTAAGAAAGAGCAGAGTATATGGAGAGTAAAAGAAAGGTAAATGAGAGTGGTGGAGAGTGCAAAAGGAGAGCAGATGATAGAGTGGGAGAGGCACTGTCAGAAATTTTAATGAAATTAGAACAAATTTTGGAGTGAGTTAAACAAAGTTAAGGAAAGCCTAGGGAAAATATGGATTTGTCAGTAAAAACCAGAGTAGGGGAGTTAGTAGATGGGGAGAGGAGGTATTGGCGTAGCTGGCCGAGAATATTTTGAGGAAACTTTTAAATGTTAAGGAAGAAACAGCAGCAGTAATTCATGGCACTGGTCAGGGAGGTATACCATCTTTTGGAGTGAAGAAGGAGCAGAATGTAAGTGTGGGGGAGGTACGTGAGGCATTACGTAAAATGAACAGGGGGTAAAGCAGTTGAAACGAATGGGATATGACAGGAATGTTAAAAGGCAGGGGGGGATATAGTGTTTGGAGTGGTTGGTACTTTTGTTTAACTAAATGTATGAAATGAGGGGAGGTACCTAGCGGATTGGCAGAGACATGTATGGTCCCTTTATATAAAGGAAAAGGGGGACAAAGAGACTGTAAAATTATGAGGAAAATAAGCGTACTGAGGATACCAGTGAAAGTGTACGGTTAGGGTTATTAATTGAAAGGAATTAGAGGTAAGACAGAATGTAGGATTGGCGGATGAGGCAAGGAGGTTTTAGAGTGGGTAGGGATGTGTAGATCAGGTGTTACATCTGAAGCAATATATGTGACTGGTATTTAGATAAAGATAGGGAAGTTTTTATTGCATTTTGGATTTAGAAAAGGCATATGGTAGAGTGGATAGAGGAGCAATGTGGCAGATGTTTCAAGGTATTGGAATAGGTGGTAAGTTATTAAATGCTGTAAAGAGTTTTTTATGAGGATAGTGAGGCTTCAGGTTAGGGTTGGTGTAGAAGTGAGGGAGACTACTTCCCGGTAAAGTAAGGTCTTAGACAGGGATGTGTAAATGTCACCATGGTTGTTTATATATTTATGATGGGGTTTGTAAAGGAAGTAATGCTAGGGAGTTTGGGAGGGGGTGGGATTAAATTTGGGGGGAATCAAATTCAAAATGGATAAATTGACCAGTTACTTTTTGCTGATGATACTGTGCTTATGGGAGAATTCTAAAGAAAAATTGCAAAGGGTTAGTGGATTGAGTTTGGGAATGTGTGTAAAGGTAGGAAAGTTGAAAGTGAACATAAGAAAAGAGTTAGGTGATGAGGGTGTCAAATGATTTAGATAAGAAAAATTGGACATCAAATTGGGGAGGAGGAGTATGGAAGGGAGTGAGTCGTTTTCAGATACAGGGAGTTGACGTGTCGGCGGATGGACTTTATCGAAGATGAGGTTAATCAGTAGAATTGATGAGGAAAAAAGGTGAGTGGTGCGTTGAGGTATATGTGGAGTCAAAAAAAACGTTATCTATGGAGGCAAAGAAGGGAATGTATGAAAAGTATACTAGTACCAACACTCTTATATGGGTGTGAAGCTTGGGTGGTAAATGCAGCAGCGAAGGAGACGGTTGGAGGCAGGTGGGAGAAGTCCTGTTTAAGGGCTGGTGTGGTTGTTAAATATTATGCAGAAAATTCGGAGTGTGGAATTAGAGAAAGGTGTGGAGTTAATAAAAGTATTAGTCAGAGGGCACAGAAGAGGGTTGTAGAGGTGGTTTGGTCATTTAGAGAGAATGGATTCAAATAGGAATGACATGGGAAAGCTTATAAATCTATTAGGGAAGAAGGCGGGGTTAGGGGTCGTCCGTCGAAAGGGTTGGAGAGAGGGGGTAAAGGATGTTTTGTGAGGCAAGGGGCTTGGACTTCCAGCAAGCTTGCGGTGAGCGTGTTAGATAGGAGTGAATGGAGACGAATGGTACTTGGGACCTGACGATCTGTTGGAGTGTGAGCAGGGTAAATTAGTGAGGGATTCAGGGAAAACGGTTATTTTCATATAGTGGACTGAGTCCTGGAAATGGAAGTACAATGCCTGCACTTTAAAGGAGGGGGGTTAGGGATAATTGGCAGTTTGGGGGGATATGTGGTGTATCTTTATATGTGAATGCTTCTAGACTGTGTATTCTGTGCACTCTGCAAAAAAACAGTGATAATGTGCGAGTGTGGTGAAAGTGATTGATGATGGATGAAAGTATTTTCTTTTTGGGATTTTTCTTTTCTTTTTTGGGTCACCCTGCCTCGGTGAGGAGACGGCCGCTTGTTGGAAAAAATAAAAAAAATATATCTATATATCTAAATATATATATTTTTTTTTTTTTTTTTTTTTTTTCAAACAAGTCGGCCGTTCCCACCGAGGCGAGGGTGACCCAAAAAAAAAAAGAAAGAAGATCCCCAAAAGAAAAAACTTTCATCATCCATTCAACACTTTCACCACACTCGCACATTATCACCATGTTTTTGTAGAAGGTGCTTCAGAATACAACAGTCCTAGAAGCATACACATATAAAGATACACAACTATCCCTCCTCAAACTTGCCCCAATATCCAAACCCCTCTTTATAAAGGTGCAGGGCATTTGTACTTCCCATTTCCAGGACTCAAGTCCGACTATATGAAAATAACCGGTTTCCCTGGAATCCCTTCACTAAATATTACCCTGCTCCACACTCCAACAGATCGTTCAGGTCCCAAGGTACCCATTCGTCTCCATTCACTCCTATCTACACGCTCACGCAAGGCTTGTGGAAGTTCCAAGGCCCCTATGCCTACACAAAAACTCCTTTGCCCCTCTCTCCAACCCTTTCGGGACGGACCCTACCCGCCTTCCTTCCCCTATAGATTTTATGCTTTCCATGTCATTTTCTACTGTGATCCATTCTCTCTAAAA